CCCTTTCCATTGTTATCGTTTCCCCCTATGGTAGTATATAGTCGTATATATATATATATTGACAAAGGTTGATAACCTTATATATATAATAATAATGTATAGACAGACAGACAGACACACACAGACCAACAGACAACATATTTCTGTCAGATTCATTAAGAAAATATTAATAAGAACATCTACTTCATATAAAATTTAATTGTATTGACAGATTGAACAGATATTCAACAACATATTGAAAGAAATCAAAGGCACACCATATGAGATTCATGTTGACCGTCATATGTATGCCGTAGATAACACTGCAGAGTATGATGAAGAAATTGAAAAACTGAAACAAAATGTAGGTGGTTACATGAAGGATATGGCAAGAACTGTGCCAATAAATTGGGTTGAATTCCAAGTTAAAGTGCTAGAATTGGGAAAGACAACACTGCGCATGGCCTTAGATAAGGTACCGTATTCTTCCTAAATTACTTCTTAACCTAAAAACTTTATTTCAAATTCAAAATATTAGGCCTCTTAATTAAACTTTTTAATAATTTGGTGTTATTCTGTGGCACCATTTTAAATATTTTTAATTATTTAATTTTTTATTTCAGATTATTGTTATTGCTGTAGAATGTGGTATTAACAAAGAACAAGCCATTCATGTGATCACCTATTTAAACGATCTTGGAATCATTCTCTATTTGCCCAATAACAAGAGGTTGAAGAACACAGTGATTACTAACATTCAAATGCTGATTGGGATATTTGTGAAAATTATCACAATTGTGAAATCTGATGATGTTGACAAGGTAATCTTTCAATGATAAAGGCACAAAGAAAAAATGATTAGATTATCACTCTTTTAAAAAACAAATTGATGTGGAAGAATGTTTTTTTTTCTTTTGGTACAATAAATTATTTTGCTTTTGTTTTTATCGATGAGGGAGGGTTTATATTTGGCCTGTTCCCAGGCCTGTAATAGTAAATATTGTATAAAAACTGGTTTAATTTTATAGTTTTTTTAAAGAAAATGTTGAAGTCACAAACTTGCATTGTTATTTCATGCTGTTGAAATAATTGATGCGGCAAAAAGTTTTTTGTTTTATTCCCGCATCAATTTTCCTGAATTTTGACTCGGGCGGGAGTGATAATCTAATAAATTTTTCTGTTTGCCCGAAACAATAGATACAAATATTTGAGTTGTTCTGTGTTTAATCTCCCATCGTGTTTCATGTATATGGGTTCTGAATGAAATTGTGGTAGGGGTCCACTCGCTAGTGGTATGGTTTGCTATTTGTAAGGTCATTATCTACAAGGTTCTGTAATCACAATTTGAAAATGGTCTAATTCATGAAGTTCATGAACATAGTTCACTAGTCATTGTAAAATATAGAGTTGGCAAAGAAAGGTCTGCTAGTCATAAAAAGAGAGGCGGTTCAGTAGTCATCATCTAAAACAAGAGAATTATCATGATCAACGAACCTCATTTTATATAATGACTCAAACCTGTTTTTTATGATTAGCAAAATATTTGTTTACATTGACTTTGCCTGTTGTGTCACCTCTAAAAGCAGCTCCTCTCTTTAAGCCTAATATAACACAAGGATAACTGGAAGACAGTAGCTTAGGAAATGGACATGTAACAGCAGCAGAAATGGAGAGCCAGAGGGGCCATTGGCCTCTGCACTGCCCTCACTTTTGTTGCTGTTCACAGCAGCAGTAAAAAAACAGGTGTAGGTTTCGCCCCCTCCCAACCACCCTTCCTCCCTTTTCTACCGCAATGTTTTAAGTTTAATTCTGTATGTTACATCACAGAGACTAATTATATCTTTTATTACCGAACATCGCTGTGTGTGTGTGTGTACTTTTTTATCCAAAAGAAAAGCCATCAATGTGGCATCTCCACCCTACTAATTTTTGGAAAATTTAATAAATGGAAAAAATTAGAAAAGTGTATTTAAATTTCATTCTGAGAATTCAATTTCAGGCCATCTAGAGGATTTTTAGCTACAAAATTTCTTATGTCGGCCCCATCCGTAGTGGGGCTTAGGTGGTTCTGACCCTCCATCTTAAAAATCTCCTTTCCTTGGCTTCTCTATTATCTAAACAATTGTTACTAAAACTTCAGGGTAACTGATCATAAAAAAAAACAATTTGTGTAGTCGAATGGGGTATAAATTAAAAATACCTGGCAACGCATTGGAAGAAGGAACCCTGTAAGCTTGAGTGAGTGGTGCTCTGTAGAGACGGTAGGTATGTTTTATAATAGTTGATTGAACTACTGATAAGCAATTAGTAGAGCTCCGCATAGTACACTATAGGGAAATTATTGTACGAAGTTTAGATTTAATGAAGGAAATTTTTGAATGCATTAAATCTAACCTAAGTATAATAATTTTCCGTTTAGTGTACGAAGCATGCTCTACTAATTGCTTTATAAGTTAATCGCCATCTTTTAATTTTAGTTTTTTATAACCAACTGTTGTAGCAGCCATCGGTTGCTATAGTGATATGATCAGTATACTTGTGCGTATTTACATTTAGCTGTGCGTATGCTGATTTTTGCTCCTGCAGTACGCGTAACTCATCTACACATATCAGCAGTACAGTGTAGATACGATGAATAACTATTGTGTTAGAAAGAACTTGTTTGTAATGCTATATTGATAGACTTTCATCAAAGAAATAAACATTTCAGCATTCGAGAGGGAATACAGTCACTGACGTCCTTTTTGGTCGGTGCATGATGACAGGTAATGATGATTTCATAACTAGGCCAGGCTACGGCCCAGAAGGAGGAGGCCCGGGCGGCCTGCCTGGCTGTAGGCCTACACCTAAATTTGTTCCTTGAGTCATTAATGTCTAGAATATTTCTATAAAAAGTTCAGTTTGTTGTGTTTATGAGGGTCCATTGATTCAATGAATTCCTTAATTGTTCATACTTAATATTGAATTTGAAGTAGGGTTCTAATTAAGCTTGTTTTACGAAAGTAATTTTCAATAAATATTCAATTTTTATCGCAGTGCGCGATGTATTCGCGGTGACAAAAAAAATGAGGATTTTTTTTTGCACACAAAACCTAAAAAAAATCAAGCCGAGCGTCCAATAATACAAAAATTATTGGATGCTTAATTGCCTTATAAAATGCCTCCCCCCTACCCCCTCACTTTCAAAGGCAATTTATATTTATTGAGCGAGTTGTTTTTGGTTGTGAGTTACTACTGTATATCTTGAAATTTTCTTGCACTTACTACCGTTCCCACACCTTTTAAAACAGATCTGTACGCTTGATTGAAGTACCATTTTCAGTATTTTTATATTTTGGTGTATTTGGTTTTTCAAAAATAACATATTTTCGAGGCGTTTTAATAGAGTGATGGGTAGTAGTAAGAGAGGGCCCCTGGTCTGTTTTGGGACTGGGTCAGGGCACTAGAAAGCATATGTGTTACACCACAGTTAATGCTAAGTTGTAAAGGGATAGGTATAGTAGGATGGTCAGGGGCCCCTTTTGACTGATCCAAGAACCTCCACTCTTATTCTTGGGTAGCCATAATAATACTAATAATTGCCGACTTATATAGCGCATATAGACCCCTTGCAATGTTTACATTGGCCTTTCTGAAACGTTGCCGGCGCTGTCAACTTACTTAAACAGTACAGTACTTACCTCATACTCTGTGTCTATTAAAGGGGAGCCGGGCCGGTCGAGCCCCTACAAATTTGAATTGACATACCATTCAGATTTCCTATCAAATAACCCTCAGCACTGTGCAACTCAGCGATTGTGGTTGGTGCGACGATTTACCCAAATGATTTTAAAAATTGAATAAAAACAGAAAAACTGTATTTTCCTAGATTTTTATTTATTTTTTGTCGATTCCTAATATATATAACTATGACATATGTGAATTTTATTCATGTAGCTTTCGTATGTACTGTAACTGCTTGTACTCCTGGGTGGAGAGAGACAACCATAGATAAAGTACCTTGCCCAAGGACCCAAGCAAGTTGCACAGCGAGAGTTTCGAATCCCCGACTTCAAGGTTAGGCATCCAATCCACAACAGATGCACCAACCGCTTCCATGAGGAAAGCAGGATGACTTGTTTACCTTCTTTATGGTCTTCTAAAGCTGGCTGAAAGCAAAGATTGCAAATAATTCCTAATACTACTTTAGGGCCATGGTTAGATTATTATATAAGAAAACATTGTATCTGAAGTTAAAAATTATTATTTCTTTGCAACCATCTTATGTTAACAATGGATTTGAATTTAATTTTCTTATTTATTATGGCATAGTGACTTCCAAGATTATCGTAGTTTGTTTAATTATATGTAGGTTCCAATGATGATACCATACTGGAATGAATTAGATGATAAAGGAATTCTGCCGGAACCGCTAGCCCGTCATTTATGGAGAAACGAACTGACTGCATGTGAAGAGAATGATGATGTCATTTTTGAAGACTTCATTGAACTTATGAAGACATTTGGACTTCTTTGTGAAAAGGTATGACCTACTGTATTGCTGGTTTTGATGTAACTAAGGACAACCTATAACCCTTACTTTTCTTACTTTCTCAAAGCACTAATATGTGCAAAAATATTGTAGGTTGTTAGATCTGGGGCTGTCGGCTGTTATTTTTTTGGCCATATGGGAATCTCAATTAATTTTATATTTTAATTTCATGTTTTTGGGGAAATGGAGAACATGGATTGGCAGAAGTTGTGAGTGGACAATAAAACACATTGAAACTGCAATTTTGTAATGTTTGTTTTGTTTCATTTATAAATAAAGAATGCCTCAGAGGATGGCACTCGCCTATTCGTCATCCCTTCTCGGATGAAGACTAAAACTAATAATAGGTTAGAAATCAAGGAAGACGATGAGCAGACAGTATCCATCTATGTGACGCCTAAAGACTTTCTCCCCGATGCAGTCTACGATATCTTGGTTGTTAGATTTGTGAACCTGAGCCAGGATAAAGGTTGCTGTGATGACCCAAACTTGTTTCAGAATCAGTCTACAATAAGATTTGGTGATGAGCATTTCCTGAGACTGGGTCGGATATCCATTGATAACAAACCTTCTTTGAAAGTAAATATAATTTTGTTCCATGTTATTTTTCTTCTGTGCAATTTTGCTGTTGGTTTTCCTAATGATTATATTTCAGTACCATTAGTTTAGTTGAATTCTTTCATGAATAAATTAGGCCTGTGTTGTCGATGTTAAACACACCTTCTATTATATTGAGGAGGGGGGTGGATTTCGGGGATGAGATTAAAAAAAAAAATAGACACCTTGGGATAGCCAGAAATGGCACTCTCGACTGTGACAGACATGTGTTGGATTGGCGTAGGCCTCTTTTTAAAAATTTGTTTAGTCCTTATGCCCAAAGAGCTCTGTCTGGTAAGTGGGCTTGGCTTGTCTGATTGGGCCTATGTATTGTATAAAGTTAATGCTTTACCCTGAAAAACCCACACTGGCAAACAACAAGAATTATTATTGAATTTAACTTAAATTCTGTGAATATTTTTGTAATGCACTGGTATTCTTTATTAAAGCTTGAAGTATCACGGATGGAGGAGAGAGACGTAGACGGTAAAGCCAAGCCAGCATGTAAGCCGCAACCTGACGTATGCCAGGAGGTAATGGCATCATTGGCTGCTTGTTGGCCAAAAAATAAACATTGTTGTGTTACCCTTAAATTGAAAAAATCAAAACTGTCGGTCGGTTGGTCAGATTTTTTTTTTTTTAAATGATTCTTGAAATACAAGGATAGGCCTCAAACTGCAGGCCCTATATAAATACCTAGGCCTCGTAGACATGCCAAATAAAGTATTAAAAATAATGACGGAAGAAATACTAAGCAAGAATGTATTGAAGTATGTATATTCAACAAAAATAAATCATTATAAGAAGATTTATTTTGCTTCAAAATGTTAAATAATTTGTGTACAGTATCCGATCCATACAATCATGCATGTTCACGTCGAGCAAAACCATATTATGGCTATGAAAAAGGTCCAGGCAAGCGGCCTCTATGTACTACAATTGAAGTAATATATTTTAAAATATATTAGTGAATACAAATTTTGATTCCAAAAACCACTAGCTTTACAGTAGTAAAGAATGGCATGCCTAGAGTTTCCTAGGCTAGACCTAGCTAGATCACGTCATGCAAAGTCGTCGGTTGACAGTGCAAGAGATCTGATGTTGCATGAATAGAATTTCGTCGAGCGCTCGGTTCTCAAAATTTCACCAATTTTCCATGTGCATCCGAGCACCAATTTTGGTAAAAATACATGTCTGTTTTAGATTTTATGTTCTAAATGTTAATTTCAGAGTGATATTTGTACTTGAGTGAAAGAAACCCTTTGAACATAATTAAAAAAAAAAAAATTCCGACCCAATTTTTTTTGGAAAATTTTGGTCGGTTGCGGAGGGCAACACAAAATATTTGTTTTTTTTTTGCTCTTATTGAGTTGATATCAAATGGCTAATCATAATATAAGCTATTGTATTGTGTATTAAAAAATAAAATTTTTGAATTTTATAGGTTTTGCATGTTTTGAAGCAACAACTAGATGAAGTATATCCATCCAAGGAAGTTGTTGGCTATTCTCTGAACATACTTTGCTTAATCTGTGTGAACTCTGAAGAACCACATTTTCAGGAACTTGAGAACTGCATAAAGAACAAGAATATGACTTGTGATAAAACAGGAAAAATTATAGCAATGTCAACAGCTAATGTACAGAAGGTGTTTAAAGGAGGTAAGCAGGTGTTAAACTATTAAAATAATAATAATCCATAAAATAATTAGATTAATGAATAGAGTTAAAGATGGTGAACATAGGCTTTCTAGTCGAAATTATTTTGTCATTTTACAGAATGGTCTGTTAACGTCCAGAAAAGGAAAATGTTACACTCTGTCCAAAAAAGAAAAATATCACACAAAAAGGCGAAGACCTGTGATAAAAAAGGTGAACAAATGGCAATGAAACCAGGTAACGTATGCAGTCAATATGTAGAAGGCAGGCAAATGTCTTGAATAATTCAGAATTTGGCTCATTCAACTAATAATTGTTCAAGTTTATTTGCAATACATCTGCTCACCAATACTATTTTAATTCAATTAAATTATATTTTACTTCTGGAAATTCTTAAAATATTTAGTATTGACATAATATATCCAAGCAAAATCCACATTCTAGTCCAAATATATGATGTAAATATTGACATACGTCTAACTATTTTATAGGATTGTCGGATATGAAATTCGGTGTGCTTAAATCTGTTGTCTCAGACTGGTACGACCGCCACCGAAGTCTTTCTATGCTGAAAGTGTTGTTCAGAGATAAGGTAGAAAATGGAAAGCTATCAACAGTAACTGACACGATGGAGTTGCTTAACAATTTGTTTAGACATGATCATCTGAGTTTACAAAATCTCAAAATCCTGTGTGATACCATTAGCATAACTGAACATTTTGCTCTTCAATGGAAGATTAAAGAAAATCTGTCATCATTCCCAGATGTTAAGAAAGGAACCATTTCAGAAATATTCACAGTTCACAGACAAAAGCTAATGAAATTTGGAATGGAACTGACCCCAGCTGATGTAACGCTGATCGACGGGTTGTATAATACGCCTCGTAAGGACTACGCAGACGCTTGGAGTATGATCACCGATCTGGAAAACAGACTGATAATCAGCAAAAGAAAGATGAAAAAATTCATTGACTCATTGAAAATCCTAAATCTCAGTGGCGCATTGAATGCACTAACATAAGGTACGGTATTAATCTTTTAAATAACCATTTAAACTGCATTGGCTTGTTTAATATGTTACTGCTATTTACTGGCATACTGTAATTTCTCGGATAATTTCTAAGTTTGCAAATTGGAAAAAAAACAAAAAGAAACAAGCAAGTTGAGATAAATCACTAATTTAATTCATTGGATTGATCAGATAAATGTTAAGAGAAACTTAATTATTCTGTCATCTATAGTTTGCTTTATAACATTATGTAGCTGTGAAACTAAAAAAGCTATTTCTTTATACCATACTATTAAAGTAAAATGTTCTTAGGTTTGTCTACTAATATCATTAAGAATTTTCTGTATACATAAAGAAAATAACAGTGGCGGCACTTTTCTCAGAAAAGAAGAAAAACCAACATTTTTGTAGAGGAGAAAAATAATTATATGTATTTTCTACATATTAGTAGACTATCTATCGATTAAATAAGCCTCTGAAACCTCTAAATTGTCATATTTTCCCCGGACCATTTTCGAAACATTTTAATCGACACCCGACCACAGCCACCCAGATTTCAGATGCTGTGCCACCACTGGAAAATGATTTAACTTGTTTGTAGTAGTTGTTGGAATAATTTATAAATTGTTTGGATGTTTTTAAATGGAGCAAATCTGAATATTGGTAAACACATTTGGACCAATCTAAAGATTTTTTATTAATCAATGTCTAAATGTTGATTTCATTTTCTCAGATTGTTCAATTCTGTTGTTACTGGAAGAAAGAAGTTACGCAACGAACAAGCTTTGACACATAAAAAAAGTAGCAAGGGAAACAGATGATGTACATAATGTGGAGAAGGTATGGATGAAATAATTTATAATTTAATTAAATATATTTTATTTGGTGAATTTTGAATGGAGTAAATTGGAAATAATTTATAATCACTGAGTTTGAAAAACTTATCAAATATGTTTTAAATGATATTAGGCCTAAGCATACGCCTGAAAATAATATTGTGTGGCTTTATATAGCACAGATAAAGAGGTTTAGTCTCATTTAATAATACAAGAAATTTCACTCATTCACATGCGATCATGCAATCTGCTCACCAATAATATTTCAATTCCATTTATTTCACTTTCAAAACTTCTATTCTGTACAGGAACAAAGAATTTTCAGGCTATGTTGATGCAAGTATGAAACTGGTACGATAAGGACAACAGTTATTGTATAACAATAAAATGAAAGGTGACAGCGATCTGCGAAGATTCACAGCTGCTGTTAGTGGCCAGTGACTCAAAGATTCGGAAAATACGGTCAGAGCATGTTAACTTCAACTCCTGTGGCCAAAGGTAATTCATTAATAACTTTTTATTAAAATTTTATTTCATTTATTTAATTAAATAAATTATTAATTTTTATTAAGAGAAAAATTTGGTTTTTTTTCTTTGAAATTTAAGAAAAATTTGAGA